AGTGACGGTTACGCGCTTTCATGCCCATTTCAACAAAGTTGGGAGAACGATGTATTGCATCTTGTGAATAGACATGGGGAGCAGCATGTTTATGTTAGAGGCATTGTGTGTAATCGCTGCGCAGTACCTGCCAAAAGAAGATATTATTTGGGCAGTCTCAACCGTTTCCGTCTGTGTGTGCTACGAATACAGCAACTCTTTTCGTAGAAGAAGTGATGAGGAAATGGCGTGCCCTTGATGATACGATTGTGATTATGAAATAAAATTTTTAATCAGCCAATAATTGCGACCTGTCCGGTCGCCTGGAACCCCGACAACAACTCTCGTTCTCTGGAAAGTTCATTCTAATATTTACACGTTTTGTGGAGTTCATCGAGCGAATAAGAATGTTCCAACGATGAGCTAAACCTACACGAGTTCCCCAATCCAACTCGGCGCTTTTGAATTTTAGCGCCGTAGATAGTTCTGCGAACAGAGTATACTTCTGTGCAAATATTCGTCTAACAGTTTTGCAACGTTGGAAAGCATCGGAATGATTCAGAATCACTGCGGAGTTGATACTCGGGAAGATAAGACGGGCACTTGGGAGAAACGAACCGTGGCATTTGAGACAGGGGCACAACCGGGGGACAAACGTGCTACAATCGCATACCCTTCCAAGGTCATCGCTTGGGCGACCGCGCGCGCGCCCAAGAAACCTTTCTTTTCTTCTTTTTAGGGGTGGTGGTGGGGGGGGGGGGGGGGGGGGGGGGGGGGGGAGTGGAGGGGAGTGGTGTAGGCGCTGATTGTCTTCCTCCTTTGTGGCTTTTGACAGACGCACAACGAGACTGGCAGAAAAAGCGCATGATTCATTTCTTTCGATGGAGGCGTTCTGTCTGTGTATGCGAACATGATTTTTTTCCCCTTTTAGAAGTTAGTTGTTCTTGCCTTGACTCGGGTCCCAGCGGGTGCGTTGTCGTTGTATGCCCACTATTTTTTTTTTTTTAGTTTATGGTAGTTTTTGCGCTGATGGGGTATCAAGGTAGACAAAAAGTAAAAAAAATGAAATAGCGCCTCGACAAAAAAAAAAAAAAGTTGTTGCGATCAGGAACGTTTTCAAAGCCATTTTAGGAGCCTGCGGTGTTACCACAGGTGCAGGATTGAGAGCGTAACCCACGCACTTGAAGAGAAGGGGAAGCTCTCGTCTTATTGGAACTCTCTTTTATGGGTTTCCACGTCGCGATTGTCCTTCAAAATCAACTGTCATTTATTTCTCGCTCGTGGCTTCCAAGTACTGGAAGCCACGACTCGAGCCACAATAGTTTTGCGAAATCAAGGTTTCGCTGAAATGGATAACTCTCACGTACAGTTCGACGCGCAATACCTTTGCCGTATTGACTCGCGAGAGATGCCCCCAACACGGCTGAGTATGGCGGTGCTCCAGACCTAACATCTAAATTTTGTTGCCTTACCTGTTACTATTTCGCGCCCATTTTGAGCCATATCAAAATGAAAGCGCATGATGAAATAAAAGTCACACTCGTTTTCCGCTCGATGGAAATTTCACGCCAGCTCGCTGTCTTTGCTGGTACCTTGAGCGTTTCCCAGCAATGCGGAGAGTTAAAAAAACAAAAAAAGAAAAAAAAAACGTACGATGGCATCCTTTGCGGGATGAGGACGATTCGTCACATGCGCATTCGTCACAGGACGATTGGTCACAGGATGATTCGTCACATAGGAACATTTGTCACAGGATGACTCGTCATGCGGGCAACTGGTCTCATTGATCGAGCAGGGGACGATAGTAAATTGTAAATTTCAACATCTGCCTACATACCCTGATGAGGAGTTTCACAATTCTCCACTGTCACGTAAACCAATGGTTATATAAACTAATATTACAATACTCATCCGCTTTTCCTTTCATTATATTACGGGTCTTCAGCAGGTTGATCTCAGTTGCAGGCTTGAACGAGCAATAATCCGACTGGCAGCCAAATTAGTTTTTAGTTTTGCCTTGCATACACCTATTCGACAAAACCATCAAGTATCGGAATTCCTTCTGCCGAATGTGTACGAGTACCCCTCGCGCAGCATCATGGCTCTCTCTGTTGCGATCACCTCCATCCTTTTGAATGTAGTTCAAAAATAGTCGCTCTTCTATGGCCTCCGCATTCACCGTTCAGGACGGACCCAGATAGCTAGAACGTCTGTTACAAATTCTTTGACCTCGAGACGCGAAAGACATGCTAAGATAAGAGGTGACCGACTTTCTGAGGCCCAACCAACATTCAATGTTCGGGACCGAATCAGAAGCTAAAACGTTCCTTACAAATTCTTCGCCTTTGTCCGCCCGAACCAAATTGAACAATACATTTTTGGGGGGACGAACTATTGTGAGACCGGTTGGCCGCGTGACGAGTCATCCTATGACGAATGTTCCTGTGTGACGAATCGTCCTGTGACCAATCGTCCTGTGACGAGTGTGCATGAGACGAATGGACCGTATCCCATCCTTTGCACACTCATTACTTCTATAACACTGAGCCACCTCGTATCCTTTTGTTTTTCTTTCATGGTACTAATTTCTTTCTGCGCATTACGGCTGTTACGACGCTAAGTCTGTCTGCCCTTCGAATTTAAACTTAGGCTCAGATCAGGATTCAGGGACGAACCAGTTTAAATCAGGAAAATATAATTAACACTGTAGCAAAGTAAATCTATCATATCGATCGGAAATACGATTTGGCACATTCCATCTGAACACATATTGTGCACAGCGAATGCAATAGCGAGTCAGCGTGCAAAACGCCGCCACACTGAGCTACCATAACATCTCAGCGATTTTTGCATAGCACCGAGCACGGAAAAGAGAAAACAGTTATTCATTCACATAAACGAAGCAAATTTATTTAAAGCCCGGACACTCCGTACGTCCAATCTAGCTAAGGTTATCAATAGACTCGACCATGTCATTTGTCGAAACAGATAAAAGACGTTGGCAAAAATGATTAGACTGAATAAGTCAATCTAACGCACGTATTTTACCAACCGACGGTCGCGCGCCTTCAATACCCTTTCCAATTGTCATTGCGCACCTTGGACACACTTTGGGAAGCAATGCATATTTACATCGCCGCCCGAGGTCTCCATTAAACGTGTAGTGCTGACCCAAATAAAATGCTAACCTGACTCTCAATCGCTCACCGCAAAGGACGATTTCGAACAGGCGGTACTGTAGGTCACTTGAGATAAAAAAAAAAAAAAGAAAAACAAGCTATAGAAACGAGCGTCGTAAAAAAGGGGACCGGCATTTTTATTCCTACCTCCGAACAGAAACGAGCGCCACCCACTGCATCACACAGCGCAGAGGCCGGACTCGGTCACCGCGCGTACATACCAAGCGCGCGCGAGGGATGCAGAAACTTCCTCCGCCGGGAGAACACGGCAGATTTCAGGATCTATTTCACGCAGCGGATAACGCGGGCCTTTTCACACCTCGATACTGGCGCCATCTAGAAGTTGCGCGTTCAACCACGTTTCGAGCCGCGCGCCATCTGGTGGCTGAAACGGACGAATAAATAGAGGTACCGCGCCCTCTTAAGCGCCGTCGTGTCCACAATTGGGGAAGTAACTTTGATCTCTTTGAGGATCAACAATGCTATGATTGGGAAGTAACTTTCTGATTGGAGACTAACTTTTCGTCCCTTTGGGAATTACTTTTGCCACTTAAAGTGACAGGGGAGTAATGTTCGTCCCTTTGAGGACCATTATTGACACTTTTAGTGATGAAATTTTGTAAAACATGGGGGAGTAACTTTCGTCCCTTTAAGAATCAATTTTGACACTTTTAGAGATGAATTTTATAGTAATGAGAGAGTAACTTTCATCCCTTTCTGGACGAATTTTAACACTTTTAGAGACGAATGTTCTAGTAGTGAGACCCTTCAGCTGGAAATAGTAGTGAAAGGTTTGCGGCAATCGCAAACCTTTCACTACTATCATAATCGCAGCAGACTTCGTGTGGTCCTTCGCAATCATTGTTATTTGTTTTTAGTTCTATGCATCACGACGTATATATGGTATATACATCGTTATATACACCAGCTTTGGGATGAAAAACCGCCATTTTCATTAATCGCGTACCAGGAACAGCCGAAAAATAAACACATAAGCAGTTGGTGGACGGGACATCTTCTGCAACCAAAACAATTTTCCGGGCTATTCGCAGCAACTATACTCCACCTCACAAGCCATGAGTAGCGATAGCAACATGAAGGCATCTGCAGAATGCTTCATTTGCACGAGCGGTTTCACGTAGACGGCACTCGCGAAAGCCACGCATGCACTTACACTCGCATCTTTGCTGGCGCAGTGCAACACCTTGCGATTTTCTCTCCGACGCAGGGAGTGCCTGATCGTTCCTCATTTCCGTACTAGTTACTATGCACTTGAGTCGCTTCTGTGTAACATGCACATTACATTGCCTAATAACTACTTCGTCTTCGACCATTTATATTCGTTGTTTAGCTATAAAAACAGTGTGCGCTCATTTTATTTAAGCAATTTTTTTTAAAATGTTTGAACTATATTTTGTACGTGCAGGAACACCGAACCCAGTCAAGCTTCCTAATGGAAGCTCGTAAGCACGAATTTATTTTAATTGAGCTCAAGCTCAATTCGAGTATACGCGCTCTTTGTCCGCACTGTCTGTGGTTGTTTTAATTTGCTTTCAAAATTACGGCTGGTTCACGCATTTGTGACGATTCCGTTCGCAGCAACCGAAACGACAGCAACGACAAATTCACCGGGACAAGTGTTCGCCGTACACAGCGTGGCATGTGTGCGAGAGGTACATGAAGCAAGCATAAATCAAAGTTGTTCCGGTCGTTTTTGTCGTTTTGGTTGTTGTGAACGGAACCGTCGCAAATTTGTGAACCAGTCTTTAAAACGTTCGCATTGTTCCTACTCGTCAGAACGGACATGGAAAGTGAGTTACCCCGAATTTCGTTGTCTTGCAGATCCCGGAATAATATTTGTCGTCTACTCGGAGGTCATAAGGAACATGCCGGTGCCAACTTTCTGGGCTGTCATCTTTTTTTTCTTCCTTATCTGCGTCGCCATGGATTCACAAGTGAGAAAGCATTTCCGATTCACCTTTGTTAATAAAACAGGCAAGCTAGTGAAAACGAACGTCGTAATATTGTTCCCACACTTGGGAACCAACGAAAGTGTACATTAACAGACAGGATGCTGTGCGCTTCTTGCCCATTGCATTGAGGCAAATTAAAAACGGGCGGTTTCTTTTTTGCATTTCCTAAAGGCGTTCTAAATGCATAACATTTATTCTTCGGGCTCCTCCTTTTTCGCACACAGCTAAGGAGGCCACTCAAGGGCACAGTGCGAAGGTTTTGTGAATATGCATAAAGCCACCACAGAGTCCCGTGACACTCTGACGTTCCCATGTGACGCGAAACCAGTGTCACGTGGCACCATAGGGTCATTGAAATTATTACATCACGTGACATGTCACGTGGAGCTGTGACGTCATTGAGGCAGCATGCCACGGACACAAATTCCCAGAAGCTGCGGCCCTATAAATGCTACGCATTTCATAAATCACTTCTTTTTTTTTTGTCCAGGTAACAATTGCTAGCACAGGAGTACAAGCACTCGAGGAATCCTACGGCCGGTTCATCAAGCAACGATTTCAGGGGCACGGCCTGTTTCTGCTCTTCATATGCGTCGCATGTTTCATCACCAGCATACCTTACATCACACAGGTATGCCTGATCCTCGGCTCTTTTTTACCGGAAACCACTATATTGCTAAATCAATGTCGGTGTAAGAAGAGAGCTTAGCTGGACGGCGCCGCATCGCCATGGAACAAGTTAGAACACGTGTGTCGAAGGTTCGTTCGCATTTCTTGTAAGCGCCACGAGATGCGCAACAGTCATGACTAAAGTCAAGACCGTGCAGCGCGCCACTGCGCATGCGCGAAGACCCATAAACCGACAGTGCCCCTCCCGGGAGATGCGCAAAGACTGAGCGAGCTTTCGCCACCTTGGCTGGCCTCCGATCAGATATCTCTCTGTTCTTCCACAGTAATATAAAATAAAATTATGCACATAACAAAAAAGAACCTTCTTAGATTTCTCTTATGTGTGAAATATATGTTCAAAGCAAGCTATTTGCTAAATAAAATTCTTCTTCTTCTTCTTCTTCTTCTTCTTCTTCTTCTTCTTCTTCTTCTTCTTCTTATTATTATTATTATTATTATTATTATTATTATTATTATTATTATTATTAAGGTGTTTACAAATTATAGAATAGGGTGCAAATGGGGAGAACAGATGAACGACTTCCAAAATCCTGTAAGGCCTCTTGCTAAGGCACTTCGCATAATGTCTGCTTTTATTTGCACACATCTTGTTCTCGCGGATTGCTTGCGCATATCGTAATGCAATCAACAACGTACTGATATACCTCCCCGAAAAGGAATATGCATGTGGTACGGTCTTTTTTCTTAACATGACGGTACTAACTTGAAAGGAACACTGGAGAGAGATTAAGTATTTCTGGTTAAAGTCCATTGCAACTCAAGAGGGTAGAGCAAGGGAAAGGAAGGCCGGGGAGGAGGAAGCAGACGTAATGCTGGGGAGAGGGGGATGTCTTTCCCTCTCCTCTCCAGGTTCCATCTGCTTCCTCCTCTCCAGCCTTCCTTTCCCTCGCCCTACCTTCTTGAGCTGTTACTATAACAATCTTCCTATAAGCAAAGTACGCTACCCAATTTCTATTAAAAAGAATTCCAAGTAACATCCTGAAAATAAATCGCTCGAAGAATAACAGGAGGAACCAAAATGGATGCTATCGTTTGAACCAGGGAAAAGAAAGAAAAACAGAAAGATGAATGACGTCTCTACCAGTATAACACGATTAGCTCAATACCTGCTTAGCAAGGCATGACACGTCAGAATCAAACAATAAAATTGACCTTTGAAAATCGCGTTTTTGTTCCTTTCAAACAAAGCAGTTGAATAGAAAACGACATTCTTCGTGGCCAAAAACATTACTGCTTTGTCCTATTTTTTGGCTGTATAACATATTTCATTTTGACAGATTTCCAGCGAATCAAACAGTATAGTGTTGAATTATTTTTAGTGCCGGGGTTTTGTGATTCGAGAGGGCAACTGCCCCTAGAAAAGTGGAACCAATTGAGCCTTGTGCAAAGAGACTGAATGCACTCTGCGAGACAAATACGAGCCATGTCTTACAGGGAGGCATCTACTATTTCCAAATGACAGACTACTACGTGGCCGTGCTAGCGCTCATAATCATCTCATTCCTCGAGCTCTGTGCCCTTGGCTGGTTCTACGGTAAGCACACTTCGTTTTTCTGACACTTCAGGCATGTGTAACTGCGGGGATTCTTTTTTTTTTTTTTGCGTGGTTACGAATTAGTCTTATAATTGATTCAACCCCCCAATAGACTAGGCTGAACTAGTAACCCATATTAGTCAAAATATATTTTTTTCACAACGTTATTAAGTGTTAATTTTTTTTTTTTTAACTGAAAGGTCTTACTGGCAACATTGAAAATGTGACGACAGCTGGGTGGCGCAAGGTTCCGCCCATTATAAAGGATGCAGCCATTAGCAATGCATCCATACATCCACCCGTCGATGTAATTTGGGCAGTAGACTGTTTCCGGTGGGTTATACAAGAAGTTTGACGGCGTGAAATAAGGGCCATGGAAGCTCCACTCCATGGAGAACGATGCACCTGGCGTCGCGCCATTAGAAAGCGCGGAGAAATATTAATGTTGGTTTCGACGTCATCTTAACTTGCCGTTTCCTCACGAGCTATCCTGAATTTAGAAATACTAAATAGCATTGCCGGAAGGAGAAAAGTTCCGATATTCCAGAAATGTAGTTAGCGTAGATATACCCGCAAAAACCGCCGGGCTACCCTTTGACGGTCGTCGCCGTTCATGTACGGCGGCGACTCTTCATTTACAAGTTCCCGCCTTAAAACTGCACTTTGACTTCCGGGATGCCCGGAAGTCAAATTTCGGGTTTTACGTGCCAAACCAACGAAGGGCATCTGGCACGCCACAGCGGTGGACTGAGGATTCATTTGGACTACCTGGGGTTCTTTTGATGTGCTATCGAAAGCTGGGTTACACTGCACCTTTTTCCGCAATGAGCCTCCGTCAGATTGAGGGCAGCTCGGCTGAGATTCGAAACCGTCACCCGAGAATTCGTAAGCCGGCCCATTGCCTAGGAGCCGCCGAGGCCGCTACACACACACCCGGAAGGTGTTGCTATTTGTTACGTCTTTGGCGTACTATAAACGTTATATTTGCAGCGAGTTTCGATTTGCTGGGGTTCATAGTTTCGAGATTAGACGCTCTGCTATAACGTAATACACGCGAGATGGTTCGCCGGCTTTTCCGATTCAAACTTTTAATGCTTCTCGGAGTTAAATTCGGAGGATGAGAGCTCACTATCCGACGGAGACGAATGTCGCGGAAGCGGACGCGCCAAAATGAAACCGAATGGAAGGTGACAACCTTAAGAACGTACTGATCGTTCCTTAAGAACGTTAAGAACGTACTTAGCGCCTGTCCTGTATACTTCTTGTCCTTGTCTTTCTGTTGCGCTATTTTATATGTTTTACTAAGGTGACAACCTTTCGCCCTCGATATTTCTATTCGGTGCTTATAAACCTGAATAACTTGCAAACACTGTACTACGTGCACCCGTCAGACCATTAAAAAAAAACACAGAAAAAAACTGCGCATTGACCCTTTCTTTGTACTATTCATTTGAAAAAAAAAAAAGTCCTGTCTGACGGCGAGTCACGTGGCAGCCGTGAACCGCCACATTGGCTAAGGTGACTCGTACCCCCAAATATATATATAAACGAAACAATATAATATACTACGCAATGCGGGCTAGAAATAAAGCACGCGTTTGCTTTTAGAACTTTAAATCATTAATACCCAGCTTAATAAAAGACTTTTCGTTCCTTACTTTTTTTTTTTTTTTCTTAAGGTGAATTAACCGAAAGCTTAGAACCATCGACCCAAATTGGATAGAAGGGAAGCTTTCCCAGCAGGCTTTTTTCCTCTTCTTCCATTATGAATGTAGTACCCAGAGAGCTACACTTTGTTTACGAACAAGTCAGAGTCTGCCTGCACCATGCGGGGGCAGTGCCCGTGCGCAGAAACCACATTCAGTCGAAGAGACACGACTGCACATGTGTCTTACCGACAACAGCGCCACCTCTCTGTCCGATGTCTCAACAGAGCGTAGCTTTCATGACGATCGAATCCTTATTAGACAGCCTTTTTGGTGGAGAAATGAAACGGCTTTATTCAATTGTGTCATCTACAGAGTTCTTTAAAAAAGTACCGCGTTGTCCGCTCGCTGCTTCTCTTGACGCGTGCTCCCCGTACTTCAAGGCGGCCACAACCTCCTGAGTGGCCAGAGCGAGGTGATGCACCACGTGCCGTACATCTACCTACGCATCTGCTGGGGACTCATCACGCCGCTCGTGTTCGTGGTAAGTGAAAAGCCCGATTGAGATATGTCGCGTCTCGTTATTTTAGTCTTAAACATCTTATTAAGCTTTAAAGCAACGCATAGGTCATTATTTCCGAGGAAATAGTTGCGGTTTCTTTCTAAACTTTTCGTAGGGGCGTCTTGTACGAGGATGCACGACTTTCACGCGTTTCTTTTTTCTCTGTAAATATGAATTTTGACAGCGCGACTTTGCCACGGGGATGACGATGATAATAATAATAATAATAATAATAATAATAATAATAATAATAATAATAATAATAATAACATGAAACACGTTCACAATTCAGTGTAATGCCGAATTAGAGCGCAGCTCTTCAGAAGGAGGAGGGAAGGGTATGAACGGCAATTTACCGTGAAATTGTGAGACAATTTCCCGGCAAATTCCCCCGCTAATTTTGGCTGAAAAAATGTCCCCTCTAAGCTTAGCGGGAACATTTTCCGCCAAATTTAGGCGCCATGTGAAGTCATTATGCGACACGTCCCATAATGCAACGCGCGGTTATGCCGACGGCGACACCGCTCACGCCGGAAACGGGCGCCTATATGAGCTGCGCTCTAAAATAATAGTATAAGTTTACTTTTCATCATTGATAGTGAGGACCGAGGGAAAAAGCTGCTAGGTGGCAGCTTGACGAACCCTCGGCTCCCGTACTATCGCGGACAATATGAGCTGAAACAGAGCTCCGGCGGGCGCACGGTACTACCTGCGCCGCCCGTCGCCTTGCTCCGCACACATGGCGCACCCTGAGTACGAGATAAATTCTCACTTGCGCTAGCTGCGCCACTGCGCTCTTCCGGCTGTCTGCAAGCGAGACGGCGGGTGCGACAGCGGGCATGTGTGGTAGGGCGGCGGTGGGAACAAAAGATTACACTTGCCGTCCCCCTTTTGGTATTGATTTACTTTACTCTATTGCGCAGAATCCCGTAGAAAAAAACGCTGACTGGTGAAGAAAAAATATTGAAGTGTCTTAAATTTCAACTGCCATTATCGTTTTTGAAAGTCATATCAAAAGACGTTGCAGGTTGTTTTTCTTTGATTATAGGTGCATGCACAAAGTACGACATCCTAAAATATAGGCACTATACTTCGTTTCAGCTTCGGTCCAGACGCAGCCGATGCTACAAGCGCGAGCATGTGGCCCAGAACAGTGCTTGCACTGCACGAGCGCGCGTGCTTGGCAGGGATGCTGAAAGCCCGGAGCTCGGGCTTGTAGCTTTGGCTGCGTCTGGACCGAAGCTGAAACGAAGTATAATATGCGTGCCGGGTTTAGTCCAGCTCCAAGTTATTAATTTATTTTTTCTGTTTCATTGATCACAGATGTTTAAAAAAAAAAAACGGTAAGCATACATGTTACTGAGAAGGTTTTGTAACCTTGATTAGTATGAAAAGATTCCAAAATATTATTTCTTTATTAAGGGGCCCACGTGTTTGTTTCAAGCAAAACAAGTTGCTGACAAGACACCAGTTTTATGTTTATGGATTCCCAGTCTTAATAAGGTGGAACAAACAGTCATATATTTGTCAACAGAAGGAGATTGAAACTTAATCGAAAGAATATTTGCAGAGGACATTGTCAGACACAAAAGATTAATAGTCGGCTTGGAAGTTCCACTGCACTATACAAGAAGATCGGGATCAAGGAGGCACCGCACAAACGTATGCGTGGTTAATGGCATCAAACCGTGTCGCAACTGTAGCATCAAGCTTTGTTCCAATCGGCAGAAGTCCAGTTCAGGGTGTCCTGAGGCGCAGTAAAACTTGCAAAATAATTTAATACCGCGTCATTCTCCCCTGACCCGCGACCACGGTTCTCATCCTGTCTGGTAAGAAATCATAGAGCGCGGCCACGAAGTCTGGCTCAGCCCCGAAGCCACTCCCATTCACCTCTGATTGCTTTCCACGATTTGTGAGCAGTGGCGCGATGGAGGGGACGCCGCGACATGGCGTCCCCTCCACCGCGCCTTGAGGCGCCTCCAAATGTTTTTAATGATATTCAGATCGGCTTCTTTTGGGGGCCAAGGCCGCTTCGTCAGGCAGCGCTCCTTGAGGAGATACGAGCGTGACAGCGCATTTTCCATTTCGGCGCTTTCTTGAAATGCACTGAAATGCAGGTTAGCTGAAAACGTGAACATTGGGCTAGCAGACGGCCGGAAGAGCGCAGCGGCGCAGTGAGCGCAAGTGATAATTTATCTCGGCCTCAGGGTGTGCCGTGTTTAGGGAGCGATGCGACAGGCGGCGCAGGTAGTACCGTGCACAGGCCGGAGCGCCGTTTCAGCTCATATTGTCCGCGATAGTACATCGGCAGACAGCGGAGGCAAAACTCTCAAGATAAAGGTAGCTGAAAGCAGCTTGTAATAAATACATACACAGCTTGACGAGCCCTCGTTCGTTTCGTGGACGAGATTATTTATGCGTTAGCATTAGTTCCCTCATAACAGGGGAAAGCCGACGGCGTCCATTTGTGGGCAAAACAGTGGAAAGGGACGCGTAGAGAAGAGGAGAGTAGTGAAGGGCGATGGCGAGAATGAGGTGACGTCACGGGGCGGAAGCCAATGCGCGGGCGGATGCTGGGACGAGTCTGAACTTGCTGGTGTGCGGAGCGCGTACAAAATGGAGTATGAACGAATTGCTCGCCAAGGCTACAAGCGCGAGCTAGCCGGCGCTCCTGGTCTTGGGAAGTGCATTTCTCGCGCGGATTAACATTACAGACCGGAAAGCACAATTATTCTTGCAGACGATTTAAATTTTTCAAACGTAGAATGGGTTTCTTCTCGGCTTACCTCTTTTGTATTTTGTTCTTTGGGGGGAATGATTAACGCCCGCTCAATGTTTCAATCTGTGGAAGCACCCACAAGACTGTGCCCTGGCAGTGCTAATGTGATAAGACTTGCTCTTATGAAATGACGGTAACCCTGTGTCCTCCGTTGTTACGATACCTGGTATCTGTGATCACGAGGTTGTTGTCGCGAGAGTTTCCTGTACTGCAATGAGTCATTAAATACCCAACCACGGGAATCTTTTCTTTATTTTTTTTTTTTTTTTAAATTTAATGGGTGATTTTGTTTTGCGTGACTGGGGCCCTAAACTCGTCGAACACAAAGTTGGAGCCGGAAGTTCGCGGAGCGCGCCGATTGAACGTCGGCGAAAAAAGCGCTAAGTCATCGTCGTGATGTGCCGATCGGTGAGCTCTGTCGACTTCGGCCCCAAATTTGTGTTTGACGAGTTTAGAGGCCCTGGACGCGTTTCTACCCAGGTTTGTAACACATAGAGTTCGGCCGTAGACTTTCCGGTTATAACCCCAAAACGCCCATAAACATCCGTTGGTGTTAAATATACAAAACCAGTTAATACCTCAAAAACACCGATTTTGCGAATTTTTCTGCTTTACCTAGGACTTTTTTTTTTTCTTCAAAACACTTTTATTTTTTATTTGAGCTCTTAGTTTTTCATTATATGTTTTCACCGATAATCACAGCTTTCAGCGTCCGCCCCCAAAAAACAAACAAACAATATTCTACTATATTAAAAAAAGGATAAACACCGAAAAGCATATCCGCCGATTTCTCTTGTAAATAAACACCGGAAAATCTACGGCCTACACAAAGTTTATCTATGGATATCTATCTACTCGGACAATAATTTACTTAAAACGAAAATTTTATATTTGGCACAGACGTACGTACCATCGCGTGTCATAACAGCGAAGCACAGGAGGAATGATAAGGCTTGGATGAACAAAGACATCAAACTTTAATCAACATCCTGCAAAACGAATCGTTTGTTTCATAGGTATTGTCACTCACCGGAGCAAACACTGTATTCCAAGATAAAAGAGCTAACCAAGACCATAACAAAAAGAATGCGCAAGGCGAAATATTTGCACTTGGACGCACTACCTGAAAAAGTGAAATGATGTATACAAATATCTAAAAGAAATTGAGAAAGTATAGAAATAGCTGAAAAAGTGAAAGGAAACTGAAAATATTAAAAAATATATAAAAATATCTGAAAAGTAAAATACAAAACAAAAACACAGTATCGTTTTTTTTGTTTTTTTTCTAGTATACTGGTGTTAATTATGCACGGATGTGGAGGCAAACCTGAAAGCTTCGGTCTGTATTTTCAGTCGGTTTTCACGACTGTTCAGTCGATTTTCACAATTACAAAATTAGAAACGTTTTGCCCAAACGAAGGACATAGACCTTCTCAGCGGCACGGCGTCACTTTAGGTTAAACTCAGCCTTCGGCTCAGGTGGTATCTCGAACCGCATCTTGAAAAACTGTACAGCCGCTGTCGTCCCCCTACTTGTTGTTTAAAAAGTAAGTGTTTTGAACAAAATTACCTCTAGATTGGAAAAATGCAACAAGGCAGCCATTTCCAAGTGTTGGTTGTAAAACACTAGAGCACATTATTTACGAAAATTTAGCGAGAACAACTAATTCACGTGCCATTTTCTCTTCTACAGGTTGCCGACATAATTCTATAGTATATAATTGCATTATCCGGACATTAGCTTCAGCTGCATGTTTTGACTGAATTTGGCTATTTAACTAATTGTGAATCCGTGTCAAATGCTGCTTTTTCTTTTTAATGCAAAACGCAAGTTCCTTTTTTTTTTTATGCATGGCGCAAGTTTGTCTGTTTTTCGCACGGGGTTGCGATACTGTCAGAACGCCAAGCTCTTATTGGCTGATTAGAAGGAACAAAAAAAAAAATGTGGGTATACTTCAAGGCATCTAGGATTGAGGTCCTAGATGCCTTGAAGTCCCTATCACTGTTCTTTGAATCGAAGCCAATCGTAACTCAGCGTCGTTCTGACGTCACCGCAACTCCTGCGCAAGGAGACGACTTGACCTCCGCATTATTTCAACTGTTGTCCGTACGTTGCATGTTGTACAACAGGCCTTGCCAGGCACCTACGCCGTTTGCCTGCGGAATAACTCACAAAAATAAAAACAATTCGTTGTTCACCCAATCAAATACAACCTTTTTTCGAATTATTTTTATTGAATAAAGATAAAGAAAAAAAACGGCATTGAAAGGAACTGCTAATTTACTGCTTGTGTTCTACTTCCAGCCCGGCCAGTTTCGATTTCTGCTGCGGTGGTAACTTTTGTGTAACGAGAAAACTAATTGCGTTGTATGTTTGTTTTGACGGCGGGGAGTTAGCCCCAATGGTCGCCTAGTGTCTCCGCTGTAGATAGATTTTTCTAGTGCAGTACGACTGCTTCGTCTGCTACTCTGATACACGCCGCACGCCGGTGCGATACTCATCCAGATCGAAACGGGAAGGGGTGGGTATTGAACTAGGGGTTCTGCAGTGCGAGGTTTCGCTCTAGGTGCCCCGAGCAGCAGTATGTTTACACACGTACGGAATCATAAAAAAATCTTTCAGTAAAACGCTAAGAACTAGTTCTTCCTCTGCTTTACGGGCAGATGCCAAGACCGAACCTTCGGTCTTTCTCGTTTTTTCTTACAGCTGAAGCCTGATGTAGTATCGTGCACGACATGAGCTGAAACAGTACTTCGTGCTTCTCTGCCGTACCTGCCAGTGTCTGAAGGAGCCGTTGTCCGGACTGGGAATGAAATGCGAAGTTGAAGTGTCACAGTTCCGACTATTTGACAGCTTGAGAGATAATACAAAGCTTGTGGGGACCGCAGACACAGAAAAGAAGACCAGATCGGGTGTTTCAGCTCATGTTGTCCGCGAACCCTCTTCCTATTTCACAGGCGGTGGTGGTGTGTGGCGGCATGTCCCTTTCCCGATTACGCTACCGCAACAAGCACCACTTCCCCATGTGGGTGGACGTCGTGGGCTGGATCCTGTTCGGCATCATCGTCAGCGTGGTTCCCGTGTTCGTCGTCAAGGCCCTGCACAAGGCAGAGTCTTCGGGAATCATCCAAGTAAGAGGTCGCTCCAGATCTCCTTTTTGACCGTCGTTATTTGTCGGCAAAGGGCAATAGTGAACCTGCGCGATTACTATGCGGGGAAAAAACCTGGGAGAGGAGGAGATGAGAGCGGGGGGACGCCCTATCGCCGCCGAGCTCTCATTGGAAGGATTAGTGGGTAGTAGCCAAGGCTAGCTGCCTTTGTCTCCCTCCAATCAGAGCGGAGAAGAGCGTCGTCTGCTCCTCGCGCGCGGTCTAGCGTTTGAATGCCGGACGCTGGTTCGACTGAGGGAGAGATGAGAGCGCTTGGAAACGTCAAAGCGCCGGGCTCTGGTTCCAGTGAAGCCTTTGCATCTGCCCACTAATTGCTGGCCTTGTCTCTACTCACTCTTTGAATGCCAACACCAAACATACACCTAAAAGAAAAAAAAAAGTCGTCATTTTGTATAAGGAGAAGTTCCAACAGATTGTTTTTTCTTTCTTTTTTAGCTGCCCAAATTAAGCACATTTTTGGAATACCCAGGCTTTATACTTTTCCCAACGTGCTCTTTATTATCTCTAACCTAAAAATAGCCAATTAGAAAATGGCACACGAAGGTTACGCCAAAATCAACATTTAAACTTTTTTGAGCTCTCCAGTGCAGTCACTTGGAGGAAAACAAAACCTGCCCCTCACCTCCCCCCCCCCCCCCCCCCCCTTTTCCAAAAAGAAGAAAAAAAGTCATCAGCATCGCATCTTGAAGCGTCTCACTACGCGCGTGACGCTAGTACGCAGAGACGCCAAGATGGACGCGTCTGCAGCTTTGCGGCGTCTCTCGTCGAGCTTCAGCGTCTTTGCCGCTTGGGACGGGCGGGGGATCCACTAGCGATGACATCATATTCAGGCCTCGTCTTTTAGCCACTAGGTGGCATCGGGACACGTTACAGGTTGTAGGACTCGGGTTGAGCAGGCAATATAAGAATATGGTATTTTGCGCGTTTTGTTCGTTTTGCTGAGGTGAGCTTCCCCACTAGTCATTTCACACCATCAAACTTCTTGTAAGCGTCGGGAAGAACTTGTGTCGCCCCCTCTTCCTATTACAACATTTGACGTCACGTTTTTAGTGCTGCCAGCAGAGCCCCTCAACCTCACACCAAATCTAGAAATTCAACAACTTCGCGAAAAAACGACCTATTGCGTGCGACTTGTAATACTAGTACATTAATCTGTTGAATAAATTTTGAGGGAAATCAGTGAGTGTGAACGGCTAAAAATGGACCCGGTAAATGCCACCGGGGCGACTCCGAGTCGATAAAAAAGAAAAGCAGCAAGCAGGGGTTTACGAGACCCAGATATGACCCAAATCACACTTGCTGAACTGTCGTCGACGAAGCCACTCTCTCTGCAGAAGACACAACAAATTATGTTAATGAAGATTCGCTTACATGCAAGAAAATAGGGACAGTGGCAGAAAAGGTTCATCAGCGTTCGCAAACTAAGCACCAGAAAAGAAACGTTTCACAAGGAACATCTTTAAACTGTGACACAGTTTTTTGCGCAAAAGTACTGACATAGTCTTTGATACCCCTTTCGAAAATGAACGTTCTCCAGTAGCTGTTTTGAGACCGCCAGACTTAGGACACGCACTTTGTGCATACATCGAACACGAGCACCGTGTCGGCGTTCGGCGCATACTCAGGTGCAATCTATTCGACACGAGTGCTGCTGCGTCTGCACGAACTCGGCTGCAGTCACATGCTTCGCGCAGGAAGTGATGCCCAAAATATGGCAGCCACCAGTGTTGCTTAATGGCCTCTTGAAAAGGGTATATTACAGATTAAATACCGCAGTAATAACTACAAATTTCGCTGTGCGCTCACAAGATCTGACAGCACGTTTTCGTTCAAATGCAGAAAGTGAGAGAAGCCCTAGAGCCCCAGATGGACGTCGACCAGCCCACAGACTTTTGGGAACCAAAGCCGCTGGTAGTCATCAACAACCCCAAGAATGGCGTTAACCATCACGCCTCGGTCCTCAAGAGCCACAGGTACAAGGGCTACAGCAAAGGAGACTACGAAGGCGAAACAGTCATCTGAAACGGGCCACAAAACCTTTTTAGTGTCGTCTGCGTTTCAAGAAAGACCCAGCAGAGCCATGCCCACACCTGCTTGGAGAACTGCGAGCTTTCAACGCAAAGTTCACCAGCTGTGAAAGGAACAAAAACTGTCTCCATATCTTGAGATGTGCGGTATAGTTTATTTGACTAGCCCATGATCATTCCTAAATGCCCAGAGAGATAACATTATGGTCTTTATTCCATTAAAAAGGATAAAAAAATGCATTGGAGGCAGAAAACGTCCTGTGGTAGAGCTTTCAAGTTGCAAACAAACCATAAAAATAGCTTCAGTTGAGCAAGTCCTTGAGAGAGACAGTGCTTTCCCATGGTAATTTTTTCGCCCACAGCTTCGCCATGTGACCAGTGCCGACATGCACCAGATGGTTAGGACTGACATCTGACCAAATTATGACGAAGCCCAATTTTTTTCTGAAAATGTTCTTTCCTATATTTCTCATTCTCTACCCACTGTACTTGTCCTCAGTTGTTGCACGTCCTGAGAAAGCTGATCAAGAGTTTGTAAAACTCCAGCACAGTCTAAGGTGCAAAAAGGCTAGTACAGAGACAGCAACCTATTTGTACAGTGGAGCTATGACTCTAGGTTTTTTTTTCTTTGTATTTCAAACATCGAAGAGTGCCGGTTACCTTCCCGAGCATTGCTGGCCTTGCAGGCTGGTATACTGGCCAGTGCCACTCTGTCGGCATTGGCTCTTGTAAGATAGGTGGATGGCAGCAGTTGATGTTCTTGCAGCTGCCTCTAAGAGGCATAAGAGCATTGCTTCCATACTCAGCTGGAGTGTAGGCAATAAATACCTTAACATTTGCAGACCACTGCCTCGTTCTTGGTAATGCATGTCTGTCCTCTATTTCATAATGAGAAACCGTGAGACCAGGAACAAAAGGGGACAAGGACAACACCGTCTCATATGAGGCGGTGTCGTCCTTGTCCCTTCGGTTCCTGGTCTCAAAGTTTCTCAATATGGATGTGCACCAGCTCGCCTGCATTTTTACTTTAAACTCGTACTAAAGGACTACTTGTCCTTTAGTACGAGTTTAAAGCCCGAACGATCTAGTACCACAAGTCAAGCTAGCAACCAGCACAATCATCAGCTTTACAAAAGCAGCCTTTTGGCAACCTAAGCAACAGTACCAAGTACCAAAGTATTAACAGAATTATGTATTTGTCACGAGTTGGTGATACTCAAGTGTGAGAAAGGTTGCCAAGGCATGCAATTTGTCACGTCTACGAGCAGCTTGTGGGATATCTGTCCAGTAGGACTACAGATGAGGACCACATAATGTTTGCCCATGCATCTATGCTCCTGCTTTAGTCACTGGACCAAGTGCAAATATGATGAAAGTGATGAGATGCCACTAAGCTCGGCCCCAGTCTCATAAACCACCAGCACAGAACAAAGGGAGGAAATCATAGCACTGAACTGGTAGGAACAATGTGGGTATGGTTCACACGGTCAGCACTCGGACTACATTCCGTTTCACCTTACAATGAACTGCAGCAGATGCCACGAGTAGTCCCAGTCAATCCAGCGCCATACACGTGTCATGAAACCACACATCACTGCACCCCCTTCCAAAAGTCACACGTCACTCACACAGCAATGGAATGGCTTCAATGGCTTTTAGTGCCCTCTGCAGTTCATCGCAAGGTGAAATGAAGTATAGGCACATTGAACTCAACTTTAGCTACTTTCCTGTCTGTTTCCCTTGATGCAATTTAGCATTTTTAAATTAGCAGTGGGACGGTATAAATAAAGTTTGGTAAATACAATTTCAGGCAAAAGCAATAAGGATATACTGTTGGATGTTGCTGATCCCCCTGACAACTTAAAGAGCCCCTAAGAAAAAAAAAAAAAAGAAAAGTTTTTTTTTAAACAGTTTGGTTGAAACACGTGTGTCAAGAAATAAATTATATGCGAAAAAGAAATTTTTTAGAGCAATATTGACGGCGAGAGATTTATTTGAAATTCTGCGCGTGAAGTCCATGACATCAAGGGTCATTCCGGAATGACCATCTCGGTCGTGCAGGCAAAGCCGATCCACCTCTCCTCCATGCGCCCGAAATGCCGAGAGAGAAAACAAGTTGAAATGAGATGACTGCCGACTAAATCGCGTCTCGCGCCGTCAATATTATTCTAAAAAATTTTTCTTTTCGCATAAAATTAATTTTTTTACATGTGTGTCTCAACCAAACTGCTAAGAACAACATTTTTAATTTTTTTTTCAGAGGCCTTTTAAGATATAATTCTAAAATCAGTGGGCTAACAGTTAAGATTTAGTGTTGCAATCACTGGAGAGTTACAACCCACAATGTTCTGAGCAAGTATACTAACAGGCCACCAGAACTTTTGCTTGATCAAATGAAATGAAAAACATATTCAGCTATAGTAGTCCATAGAAAACTGCCAGCAAGTACTTCAGACCGATATGCAAGAAGGTTGTGCAGCAGTGTTCAAGTCACTTTTATTTAAACCACTTTCAACCTGCTGTTCCCAAAATTGGTCTTTAAAGAATAAATATATGCCAAATGCCCCCCCTCCCCCCACCCTTTCCTCTACTTCCTGGATTTCTGCTGTCTGAGCGAACGTCCTTCTCCAGAAAAGGCTTCGAACTGCTCTTCGTTCTTGCTCTGAAGAAAGGAAGAGAAAGAATTGTGTACGGTAAGAGATCGGGAGCAATGTTTCTGCTTTTTAAAACTGTCTAAGATGCACCACGCCAGAAAGCAGCCCTGTGGCCACTGCTATTCTACACATGCATGCTTTTGGTATCTGACCTTACCTGTCTGCTCAAGTGGCAGATAAGTGCTAATCAAAATGTGCTTTCCTCAAACACTAGAATTCTCTATAGTCACCAACACATATTGAAGAGTTTAGTAGGTTGTTCTGATACCCCCTACCTGCTAAGTTTGGAGAAACTAAATCTGGGAGGTTTTCTAAGCCAGGTAGCAGTTTTTTAAAAATAAATATTGAAAATGAATAGAAATAAAGGAAACTTTATTACATTTGTATTGCACTGCTCATGCTAGCAAAATACATGGAGGGATGGATGTTGGATGTAAACGGCTGTACCCTTTCTAATGGGCGGTAGTTTGCACCACCTAGCTTAACTCTAAAAAGACAAACATATGATTCCTCCCACCCTTCTAAGCCAATTTTCTGCCCCTAACTACCGCCAGGCAGTGTGTGATATCACTGGGATAACCTTTGGGAGATTGGGCAGAAAAATCTAAAAAAATATCACCCCCCTGCTTCTTCCTCCCGGCGAGGGAGTGGTCACCTTGTCGGCGTTACCCCAGAACCGGACCCACTGGGGGACAGGGTTGAAACCTCGGTCTGGAGCCACATGGGAGGCAGTCCCAATTTTCCTGTCCCGCCTGCCCCCAGCTGTGCTAGTTAGTTGTGCATCATTTAATTTTCCCCAGACTATTTCCACCAATTTTCTAATCACCTCATTGCGACTGTAATCCTTTTCTCTTCCATCCTTCACTCATCGCCAGTAAAACCCAGGCCAAATCTGTTCCCCCTTTAGAGAGGGAAGGGCAAAGCCCCGTGAACTTCAAAACCAAGTGCTCTAGTGTCTCGCTCTTATTATGGCAGGCAGCACCTAATGTGTCTGTCTCCTGAAATTTGGCCCTATACGTCCTGGTCCTCAAAACTCCCGTTCTCGCCTCGAAGAATAAAGAACTTCCCAGTGAATTGCCAAACACATTTTGCTTTCTTATGTCCTGTTTTTGTGTCTTGTACATTGTTTGAGCTGATTTTTCCTGCATTCTTACCTACCACATTTTTTTTTCTGCCTTTTTCACTCTCTTTTCCACTAAGCAGTCTGCTCAGCCCCATCACTAGTGTGTAGGTATTTAAATGTAAGCTTTCGGGTTCGAATTGTCCATTCTGTGTTTAAACCTTTCATGTATAAATACTGTGTTTACTCGCAGAATAAACACACTTTTTTTCCCGAAAAATCGATGTAAAGTTGGGGCGCGTTCATTACGCGAAGTAAAATTTTTGCGTCCATATTTACTCGCATAATGAACGGACCTTTTATCCTGAAAAATCGAAGTAACTTCTTATCTGTTTGCGCGCGGCGCCCCACCCCGTAACCAATCCCCCTAAGCTGTGCAATAAAAAAAAAAAAAAAAACTGTTTTTCTTTTTTCTTAATTCCTTGGATTTTTTTTTTTTTTTTTTGCCGCCTTTTGCAAGTTGTTTCGTTTGCTTAGAGGGCTTCTCCGCTCCTCTTTCTTACCTCCTTGCGCGCGACCCCCCCGTAACCAAACTGCGCTGTGCAAAAAAAGAAAAAAAAAAAGCTCCTCTTTGTTTTTGTTTTCTCTTAGTTCCGTGGTTTTTTTTTGTTTTTTTTCTTTTTGCCGCCTTTCGCAGGCTGTTTCGTTCGCTTAGAGCGCTTCTCCGCTTCTCTTTCTTACCACCTTGCGCGCGGCGGCGCACGAACCCAAAGTACAGACTGCGCTGTGCAAAAGAAAAAGCTCTTCTCCATGTTTTTTTTTCTTGCTTCGTTAGATCTTTGCAAATTTTTTTTAACGCCTTTTGCAAGGCGTTTCGTTCGCCCACGCTGCCCATGCATTCGCGACCTCGCTGCACCAGGATAGAAAAGTGCATTCATTTCGCGCGCGTGGGGGGAGGGGGTCAAAATTTTGACGTCCGAGTTGGAAGTGCGTTTATTACGCGAGTGAAAAAAAAAGTCGAAATTTTGAGAGCCGACTTGGGGGGTGCGTTCATTACGTGAGTGCGTTCATTGTGCGAGTAAATACGGTACTTGAATACCTTTCGTGCCCACTGCGTATCATCAATTTCGGTCAACCTTTGTTCAAATTTCAACTTACTTATTGCCTCCCTGCTCTCAGAAGACGACCAGCCCATGTCACCCTGCATTCCCTCATTCGGTGTCATTCCATGTGCTCCCAGAGCCAATCTGCCTAAGCTCCTTTATTGAATCTCTAATCCTGATTGAACCTCTGATTTCATACACAGTACCTCATTGCCCGAAGACAGTCCTGGTACCATCACTCCTTTCCATATACCTCTGACCACTTCGTATCTATTAAGTTCCATAGTGCCTAGAGCTTGCATAATAGATGAATTCCTTTTCCCTTTTCTAGTTACATTCTCCTTATTCTCCTCTAGATAATCCCTTCCTTCATTGAGCCAGACTTACAGATATTGGTATTTTCCTATAAGGTGTATTACAATGTCTTGTATCCTCAGGGGTTCCCTCTTTTGGTTGTTGAACAGAATTACAGCTAAGTCTCGCTATCAGTGTTGCCATCCGTTGCGACGGCAAAAGCTTGTTTAAAGGGGGGTACTCTTGAACTTGTGAGCTACCATAAGTAGCTATATTTTGTGAATCCCCTGCTTTTACCCTTTCCGGTATGGTATTTAGTATCGTGAAATTCACAATGGTTATTGTGAAATAGGCAAACAAAAATGGTGCCAAAACCAACATTCAAATGTACCCGCGCTTTCCAGTCTCGCGACGTCAAGGGAAGGAAGGCTTGCGGGTCGAGCGGGCAATCTAAAAAGGTGGATTGTGACGAGCATTTGTTTCGTGCTGTTCCGCCGGTGCCGGAGCTAGCTTCCAAAGCTAGCTCCGGCATTTGACACCATCAAACTGCTTGCTATCAGTTGGGAACGAATTTACAGTCGAAAGAGTGGACCCCTGCCTTCTGCTGGTGTCACTTTTTCATTGTTGCCGGCAGAGACTTGTAGCTTAAAAAAAAGGGTAAAGGCCAAAAATCTGAATTTTAATAACTTTGTAAAAAAAATGGTTTCGGCCTAATTTTTGGGTTACTAAT